CAAAATATTTTCTATCAAAATATGAAAAGAAAAAAATCAATTGTGATGAATGATTACTTGAAATGGTTTTAGTAGCAGTCTGCAATTTTGGGATAAATAAAAAAATAAATTTGATAATGTTATAAATTACATAATTTGGGGAAGTTATAAATAGAATGAAAATTACTCATTTATTTTATTTTATTTTTTTTTTAAATAATTTAAAAGCAATTCTTGAACCCACCCAATAAAGTCAAAACAAGAAAAATCAAGGTTTTTGCCCTACTAGTAAGAAGTAGTACCTATTAGTAAGAAAATAAATCTTTAGATTTCAAAACAAGCACTATAAGGAACGTTAATGCAGAATTATAATTCATTGTATATTATTTTTATCAATAATATCAGAAAGTGAGAGAAAAAGGGAGTTCATTAAAAAGGAAACTTATCTACTTGAAATAATAAAAAACTGAGCACAGAATTGAGGGGGGGTGCTATTCTTATGTAAGATCAGTGTAAAAAAAAAAAAGCATAATCCAGATCTCATTCTTCTTTTATCGTGGGTTTTATAAATTCAAGAACCATTCTTATATTTTCTACACAAGAATTCCAGTAAAATAAAAATAAAGTTTTCAATGTTGAATTGTTGATGATTTTACTGATCCCAGAAACTGTACAATTGTCAGATTGAAATCATCTCAAGTATATCTAGATGTTTAGAGACATGCGTTTTCTTGTTATGTATCACATACACACATGTAGCTTGGGGGGAAGGTGGGGGGGTTAAAGAACAGGCTTATTGATGAACAGAAAAACAAATTGTTCTGCTGTTTTCAAATGACAACAGATTTTCTATCTTGTTCTTTTTTTCCTTGCTTTTTATTTAATTTTTGGTTGTTGTTAATAATCACCTATTCTTTGAAGGCTTCGGGTAATGACGTAGTAAACCGAGGTTCTCCGTCCAAACTGTAAATTCGTTTTTTCTCTTCTGATAATTTTGGTGTCTCCTGTTTACAACTCCAATGGTAAACGATCTCCTGATCTGAACACATGGTAATTTGAAATACCTCTTCTTGGTAAGCGTTTTTCAGATACCTCCATATTCCAGTCATGGTGGAAGGGATGAGGAAATTTTTAAAGGCCAGAGCAGCCACCCTAATATGCTGCAGTTTGGGTAACATCAGACAATCGAGGTGGGTTAATTTGTCTCCACATAAAAATTTATTGCCCGAGTCAACCATGTGATCACTGACTCGCCACAGCTCCGAAATCAAGTGGTCCGGAGAGTCACTCACTTGTTTGATATAGTGGGCAAATTTGGAGAAGACATCCAGACACACGGTATGCGCTCGCATGTCAGTATATGTCAAATTTGGTTCGGGAAAATTCTTGTCAATGTAGGTAACAATTTCCTCGTTTTCTGTGAGCACCTCATCGCCGTGTTTGAGAACGGGCAGCCGGTTAGCATGTTTGCGAAATTCCGCCGGCGGACGACCTGGGTCAATGATGACCACTTCAAATAGCTTACCGTCGTATTCTTGCTCCTTTAGAGCTAATATCATATGGATCTGCTGACAAAAAGGACAGGCACCGAAGCCCTTCCCACTCTGGCCGGCTTTAACATAAAGCGTTAGTTCAGGTTCCTGATCGGTGTGGTTCATCGTATTTTTTTGGTTTTTGTTTTTAATAACCGTTGCAGCAAAATGGTGGTACCACGCCAAGGAGCAGAATAAACTTCGAATGCTAGTAGTGAAGTAGTAGCGGTTGAAAGGTCTGTTGTGTATAAAATACGTTTGGCTTTAATGACGAAAATGGCCTGTGAAGCAGAGAAAATCCAACTCTTTTCTTTTGGTCTTTAAGTGACGGCGGTAGGAGACGTCAAGCAGGCAGTTGTAACGATTGTTATAGGTGAACGAATAGTTAGAGTAGTAACAAGAAAAGAAAAAATATTTTTTTATGATAGTAGTAACGCTATCATTGTATAGTAACCGTTGTTGTAATTTTAACACAATTTTCCCCAGACAACGTTTTGTAAATTCAAAAACAAAATTTTCGAGTTGGAAGACAGTTTTTAAAAGAAAAAATAAATCATATCTCGTCAACAAAGTCGACGTTGATTATTTCCAGAAGCCGTAAAAAAATAGAGTCAAATAAAATGTGTGCGTTGTAAAGTAAGCGCATAGGGGAGAAAAAAAAGATTTGGTAAAAGTCCGTCCGTAGTAGTTGGAGTCAGACGCAAGAAACTGGATGAAGACGACAACGACGATGCTGCTGCCTTTTGAAACAACCTTGGCAGCAATGGAGTCGAAGTAGAAAGAAGAAAAGAGGGAGGGAGGGACTAGTAGCAGCAGCAGCTGCAAACAACGGCCTTCTCCTCGCTTATGTTGCATCAAATACACGCACTTGCTTACGACGACTCAGTTTTAACAGATAAACGTAGTAACTATGAACTCCGATCATGTATTTGGTTATTTTTTTTTTTAGTAAGCAAACTACGTTAAAGACACACACTTGAACAGTTAAAAATGAGTACCATTTTGGATTATAAAAAAAAGAACATTACTTTTTTTTCTCTCTCTCTATGTTCATTTAAAAAAGAAACGACAGAAATAAGAACAAAGCCACAATCTGATGTCAAATAAACTACAGAAACTATTTTGACAAAGGAAAGGAAAGGAGTATTTAAAAAAAAAAAATTCACTACACAAAAATTTAGTCCCCAGCTTTATTCACACGCAACGCAAGTTACTAACGTTAATTTTGTTGAGTATTCGCATTTTTATGTAAAATTGCCAATGTAAAATAAAAACCTAAAAAAATACTTTGTCATAAGAAAGAGTGAATAAAATAACGATTTTTTTTTATAGTTAAATAAGAGAAAATGTGAAAATTAAGTAGCCTTTATTTGCTGGATAATTTAAAAAAAAAAAAAAAAAAAAAGCTGACAATAAAATTGTCCTTTACGATAAAAAAAGTTGAACCATTGAAAATTGAAATCAAACAAAAAAAGCAAAACAAAGTAAAAAAAAAAAAATCTTTTAAAAATTTGAGTAATTAAAATTGAAAATTAAAAACAAAATCTCTAAAAACTAAAAAGATCTTGTTTTGAATCAGTGAAGCTTTAAAAATTTGATACATTTTAATTTAAACTTAAAGACTTGTTTTCTCTTCAAGACAGGAAGTCGTGGAGAGCCACGACCGCCTAACTCGTAAAACAAAATGAATATATTTTTAAACAGCTTTTTTTTTTAGACTTAATTCCTCTAACATTATTCATCAAAATAATGCTCCGCAAAAAAAAAAAAAAAAAAGTTTTAAAAAGATATAAGAAAAAAATGCTTTCTCCGTCATTGCGGCTGGCAAAAAAAAAATTGTTTATAGTTACTTTGTTCAAACTTTTTTCAAGGAAAAAAAAAAAAAAAAAAGATATAGATTTGATTTTAAATCTAAACTTTAAAGATAGTGAAACTAATTTTTGGTTATTGATTGGCGATAAATTTTAGTTTTTAGGAAACATTTTAAAATTTTTTATTTCCCGTAGTGAAATATGTCAAAAAACATTTTGAAACAAAGTTGCTGAAACTCAAACATCAAGACAAGAATAACTTATGCATAAGAAGTTACTAACAAAAAAAAAAAAAAAAAAAAAAAAAACTTTAGTGAAAAAATAAAAATTATAGCTTTTCTTTACTTCCCACATTGAAGTATTATTTTTTATAACTTCACTGTAATTTACTATTTTGAAATGTTTCAATTCCTAATGAATTCAATTTTCTAATGAAAAATTGAAAATTTTGTTATAAATGAAATTTTAAGGTTTCGTTTTTGTCACTTCTTGAAGAATATGAATCAAATTAAAAAAATATTTAAATTTTTATACAGAAGAATTGATTTTTAACAAGTTTTTAAATTGTTTTAAAAAAACAATGTTGTAAAAAGAAAATTAAAAATGAATTCCTAGTCATTTAAAAAAAATAAACAAATTACAAAAAAAAAAAAAAAAAACATATCTGACAAAAATAAAAAAAAGTTTTAAGTCAAGTCACTAAGTGTATCAACTTTTTGTCAATATTTTAGAACTAAAAGAAAAACATGACAACAATCCGAATGGAGAGCATAATTCAAATGAAAGTGAAAGACTTGTTTCATGAACAGAACTAAAGTAGTAAAAACATGCCATGAGTATTGGCTAAAAAAAAAAAAACAAACATTCTCTGGCTTTTTTAAATTAATTTGAAACTTGATTTTAAAGTTAATGCCAGATTAAGAGAGATGTATTAGGAATGGTTTAATTTCGTTAAACAATTTTGTATTGAATTTATAATAAAATTTGTAATTGGGAGAAATCTTTTATAAATTTTTCCTAAACCAAACTAATTTTTCACTTAATGAATAGTTTAAAAAAGACAAAATTAAAAACCTTCTTTTCTTAGAAATCATAAAGGGTGTTAAAAAATAAATTCTAAAACCATTTTTATTTTTTTAATTAACTGATTCAATTTTTTTTAACCTTAGTTTAAGTAAGAAGAGTAATTAATGGTTCACGTGGTTTGAAAACAAGTTTCAAATCATTACTAACAGAAACAAAATAAATGCAGATTTTTTTTTTTCATCTTTCCGTTCAGTAAAAGTTAGAAATAAAAACGAATTTCAGAGATTAACACGAAAAAAATAAAATAATAATAATAAAGTCAGTACTCACAAGCAACAATTTTCAGTTTTTACAAATTTTGGATTAAAGTTGTAAACAACCCATATTGATGGTTTTCTTTTCTTTTTTTTTTAAAAAAAAGAAAAACACAATATAAATGCCTCCTAATTACTTGAAAATAATTTCTGCTAGCCAAATTAATGAGAAAACAACTTTGTTTATAATAAAATTTAAAAAAAAATACAAACATTCAAATCAAAGAAAGAATTAACGAGTGCATATTCATTGCTAAAAAAAAAGCAGTGGCAATATAAATATATTTTTGACAACAAAATTTTTAGTAAAGTACATCATTAAAAGAAATAAATCATACCTTGACTCTGATTCATATATTATTCTATAAAGGATTCAATTAAACATGAACACAACACGCGCATACAATGGCGGCGTTCATTAATAGTAAACCAAAAGTATTTGTAAGACGAAACCTGATTGGCTGTTATTCCGTTTGTAACATAATTCATGAATGGACAATGCAACTTCCTCCAGCTGATTTTCACGAAAAAATCAAAAATTGGTTATCTTAAAGATCTGAACTTAACGGCACGGAACCAATAATGGGACACCCTGTGAGGATCGAACTCATTACAGTATATTGTACATTACTTATTAACTATAGCTGTATGGTATGCGCTCTATTTACTGCAAACTTAGTCTGATATAGGATCACAAGAGTAAATTACTCTGTAGGGATCGAAATTATTCTCTCTCTCTCGTACTAGCAATGATAATTTGCCAATTAACAAATATCGTGTGACAGGTATTAGGTTCCACTAAGCACTTCTTTATATATATATATATATATATATATATATATATATATATATATATAAATATAAGTTATGAAGAACTTGGTAATCCGTATGGGTAATCCCAAGGAGGATGAAATCCTGAGAGCTCGGATGTAAATCCAGAGCTAATATTTAAAAGAAAAACAGACCACTTAAATCTCTTAAAATCCAATATTTGTCCTAGAGATGCGTTTATTTTGCTTAAAATATAATGAAAATAACTATTATTTACACACGGAGACCTGTGATGTCATAAGTCACAACTCACAATTCTAATTCTCTCATGATGTGTAACTCCTTTCTTAAAAAGTGCAGGGGTAGGGGAGAAAATATGGAACACAAGAAATTGGTATTTTTTATGTTTAAAAATAAATTATCTTTAACCATATATAAGCAATAGTTTAAGAATATATTTTTTATTCTATACGCTTTTATGAAACTTAGCACAATGAATAATTTTATTTTTTATACATTAGTGATTTTTTTAAAGTTAAACTTTTGAGTCTATACATTTTTTGATTATTTTCTTATGTGTCTAATGTCATAAAATAATACTCAATGTGGTCTTTTTAAAATTATTCTGAATTTAAAAGTTATTGAATTATATATCATGAATATTCAATCAAAGATTGTAATTCAGAATTAATTCCTTTCTGAACATCCATACAAAAAATAATCTAACAGTTGCTAAATAAAAAAAAATATTTTTCTTTTAAAAATTGTTCATACTCAAAATGGCATTTTTTGATTCTTCAAACATGCCTGAACTGAATCTTTTATTTAATCTACAACTGTTCTCATTCCACTGCTCATTGCTTGGAAAAGATGCAGAAGATCTGCGATCTCTACAAAATCAGGACAATATTCAGAAGCAGTTCCACTCTATGGAGAAATCTCTGTCTAACATGAAGGAGGATATGACCATAAATTACATGTACTCGATTCCTTGCAGTTGTGACAGGTGAAAGAAGCCACCCACTAAAAGTAAGGCTGGAGGAACATTTAAAAGCTGCAGTCTTTAGCCTTGGGTCACAGACTTTCTAGAGATGGTGTCTTGACAAAAACACCTGGATGTAGGGATGGTGTCTCACATTTTGTATCAGCTACCGAAAGAACTATGTTCCAACCAACCACAGGGAAGTTGAAGAAGGAGGAGGAGGAGGAGGATGATGATGATGATGAAGAAGAAGAAGAAGAAAAGCTTTGGGCATGGCTGGTCATGTATGATGGGAAAGGTAGTCATCAGCCTCTGTGGAATGTAGTAAAAATACTGGACAAGGAAGAACACTGGAAAATTAGGATCAGCACATATGTTAGGCTATGAGGACCTCTTAGCATAGAAATAAATACAATATGGGAGCCACTAATAAAGAAAGACAAAAGACAGGAAGTCTTCAACTGCAGCAGCAGTCAAAATATGACACATGCAGAAGCAACAGTTTCAACCTAATCAGCATGCAGGTTAAATTTAAAGCTCCAAGTTCACTACAGAAAATTATCCTACAGAACAATGGCCTTGTGGATCAAAGCATTGGTTTGTGAATTTGGTGATACATGGTTGATCAGTGTGTACTTGTTAGATAAAAATAAGAACTAGACAATATGCCTAGACATAAGCAGTGGATCTTGAACAGTCATAGATTAAATAAAGGGTTCAGTTCAGAATTTCCTATCAGTTACCCAGATCGATATACACCTGAGGAGAGCCGGAGGGCACAATGGTCAAAATGTGACAACAACAACAAAGATGAGGACAATAGTCCAAACATAAATAGTGTAAATAATAACTCCTAAATATATAAATAGCATAAATAATGATAACTTATCCCAGATAGATGTTTGTAACTATTATTATACTCTGTCGAAATTAGATCTCATTCTGATTTATTCTGAATGCTGCCCGGATGTGGCCGCCATTAAAGCAGTAGGTGAAATAAAAAAAGTCACTTTTTGCACATTGGGCTCCATGCACCACGCCTGGTCTACAAAGTGAACCCTGGTGGTAGCCAATTGTGAACATTGCTGCTGGTAAAAGAGGTGCCCCTTGGGACTACCAGAACTGATTAAGGGCAGGCTCTGAGGACAACCAGAACACAGTTGCGGCCCAGTGTGACGCAGCTGCCAGCCATCACGCAGGGTGCTGCTGCTGCTACTGCTGACATGACCTCATTACCATGACAACAGTGTTGCGGACTGGCCATAACGCAGAGCATTACTGTTGCCGCCACCATTCAACATGACAGCACATCTCAACCTCGACTCCAATCAGCAGAGCTATCCAGCTTCAACTTGAAACAGCTCAACCTTGATTCCTCCCAGCTACAAGCCTTCATTCGATACCAACACCCACTGTCATCTCGACCTACCTCAACTTGTTTACAAGGCATTCCCTTCACAGTTAACCCCAGCAACATCTGCTCTACAGAACAGCTGTACATTGACTCATTTACATGGCATTCCCTTCACAGTCAATGCAGCAATCTCCATTCCACAGAACTGGCCTCCCAAAATCTGCCGTCACATCTACCTACCTTGACTCGTTTACAAGACGTTCTCTTCGCAGACAACCTCAGCAACCTCCATTCCACAGAACAGCTCTACCTCAACTCGTTTACATGGCATTCCCTTCACCGTTGACACGAGCAGCCTCCATTCCACAGAACAGGGCTACCAATCCAACATCACCCCATTTCAACACAACAGGTTAACCAACCCACAAGATGACCTACAACCATGACCTCCATCAACCAAACGTGCACCAACCATATCCTGTGAACTCAGCCACACTGGCATAAGAAAGGCTTCAACTCTTGACACTATGCAAACACTCAATCACTATTCCTGTACTCTCTACCAATAATAAACATTGTTTCACTTTAATTCTTGTTATTATTTTCTCTCACTACCATATGCTTAACTATAGTAAAGTTTGGAGTTTTAGAGCCATTTTCAGAATTTAGTGACTACCATTCTTTTTCTTAATATGCTTTAAGGTATTTTTTTCATAATTTATACAATTTTGAGGATCTGCCAAGATCTGATTAAGCCAAGAAAAAGGCCAGTTTTGAAGGTGTAGTAAATTAGATAGACAAGTATAAATAGAGAACAACTGGTGAACATAGGGTGGCTATGCTTAGCAAACCCGTTTGCTTTTCAGGACACAGAGAACTGTACTATGACTGCCACTATGCAGAGAGATATGCAAAACATTACAGAAGGAAATTTCTTTTTTGCTCTCTCTTATTATATCACTGTTGTAACAATTTGGTTCTATGTAAAATATTACTCAAAACAAGAAAAGGCATGAAATTTCTAATGATCAAAAGAAATTTGAGTGTTACTGCACTGCAGTTCAGTCAAATATCATGGTAAATTAGCTCAAAACAAACAGAGTGTTAAACCCACACAAAAATATTTTTTGATTAAAAATATTTGTCTAAAAAGAATATGGGCATATTTTTTTAAAGATTGTGGAAAAGATAGTACAAACCAGAACATTAGTCCTAAAAAACATTGCAATTGAATAATTGCAATGTTTAGATCAGGTTTTATTTATATATGAAGCGTGGTTAATAAAGTATTATTAACAGAGAGAATTAAAAGTCTCTTAAAAATTTAGGAGGCATCCTCAAAAAATGGCCAGGTTAGTAGTGATCCTCAATAACCCCAACTAAAATATTCTACATATATTTTCTTTATATAATAACAGCAACAAAAATATGCAAAAACATTGAACACACATCAATGACCATCGCAAAAGCAAGAAAAGCAGTGTGAATAGATTTACATTAATTGTGTTAATAAATAAAGGATGACATAGCTTCAGAAGATTATTTTCAGCATTATGGACTAAATCAGTAGTTCTCAATGTTTTTTCCCCAATGCATACTTTTTACCATAAGTCAGAATGATCTTTCCCAACTTTGCAAGATTGTCCAACTCAAAAGGTGCATTCCAAACAATATGCTTATATTATTGAAAATATTCATTCTTCTCCATAGTAGTACATATACATTTACATAGATTATTTTATAGGTTATAAATTTAATAGCAATAGAAAATGTTGATGGATTTTTAAACTTGAATACATGTACACTAATTTCTTCAATTCATAACTAATTTTTAAATAAATAAACTGAAGCATGCTACAATAAACAAAAAGTTCAATAAAATTCCAATGTATTGTAGTTCAATAAAAAAATTCTATAAATAAAAAGCAGGAAAAAGTAAAATATTTTACCCTCCTCCTTAAAACTCCACACTGATTAAGAACCCCTGGATAGCATTTTGTTAAAAGTCTAGCCAGAACTAATGCATTTTCATGTAAAATTGATTAAAACATTGGTACTGGCATAATTTATTTCACAAAAACAAGTAGTTAGTATATTCTGTGACATGAAACCAGTATCTCTAACTATAGTTGATCAATTTCCCTAATAGCCAGTTGCCATTTCTATAAAGAATTATCTATGCTGAAAGTAATAACTGGAAGTATGTGGACTAAATGAATTACTATATTTGTTGTATGTTCAGTAATA